TAGAGAATCGGAAGGAAATGGTATCAATGCAGCAGAAATGCCTATGTGTCCGAGCCAACTTAGTTGTTGTCGCATGATCTTTTAATATAAAAAACATGATGGATCAGGGCATTTCAAACGAAGCAATTGAACATCAAACCTACAAAATATCTCACCATTTCTGAATTTATTCTTATACTATGATCCGGCGAATCTAAATTAATCCAGTTTGAAACTTGGCCTATCATAAAATCAGATACATCTAAGAATTTTATATAAAAAAAAAAAAATTAGTTTTAGTAATAATTGTTCTTTTTAAGAGTATAACCAACTTGCCTGCATTTTTCACTACTAAATCTTCTCTGCAAAATGGATGACCTTTCCTCCATTCTTCCATAATTTTCTTTTCATTTACATCAACACTGCCTATAAGCTGTTCAAACAAAAAACGCCTATAACTAGGAAATGTGATAGGAAGAATGACAAAATCGTAGCCTAATTCACGCGCTTCAGCGGTCACCAATGAAACATTGGGCTTTTCCTGACCGCGACTAATACCGATCACAATACGAGGACAATTCGAAGTATTTGGATTACTAGTTGAAGAGGTTTCCATAATGAAATGTTCGTCGACGTGAAAATTTGAAAAAATATCTATATAGTAAGATCAGATCTTTAGTTAAACCGAATGCAAAAATGGTATAATCTGCAGTTAAAAACCAGCCAATCAAATTGGTCAATAATTTAGCATGACGACATAAAAATCAAGAACTTTGGCTATACAAACTTAATACTGATACGTAAATTGGTTCTCATAACCGACCGGGTCAAATTTTACAAAACTTTAAAAAAAAATTTACTATCCGGGTGAGTTTTTCTAAAAAATCTATAAAAAATTTTGTTTTTTATATAAAAATTTTTTAAAATAAAATTAAAAGCCAGGCTGCCAGGTCATTTTTAAAAATTTTATGTTACGAGATCCAATTTATTAAGTTTGTATGGCCTTATATTGAAAGTTTATTAATATTTCTATTTCTAATATTGGATGGATTTATTACGTACAAACTGATTTAAATCCAAGATTTTTCTTAATACGTATCAAAAGTTGTGCCAAATACATGCGTACGTACGTACGTATAATTTAAATGTTACAGTATTTAGAACCGTTTTTGACGTTAGATGATGTCAATTCGGAGATCTCTCCGTGTTCTTTTCATGAAATGCAATTATGTGCAAGTAAACCCTAGAAATTTAGGAGAAAGTTCTACATGCGTACGTACGTGCGAACAATTCTCAATTCCCTTGGCCACAGAGAGGCTTTGCGACCGCACACATATGTACTTACACAGAAACAATAAATAATAATATTTCCTATTTAAGCCAACCTTGACACTTGCCTCCGCAAAGTTTATGTGCACATACATAAAAAAAAATGGTGAAACAGTTTTTTTTTTCCAGAGTAATCCCCAAAATTCCAGGTTGAAGTTCATCGGAGCTAGGCCAGCATTAAGTGTACTAAATAGACTACATATTATCAGGTGGACTATGACTTCATTAAAATTTTGATTGATCAGGGCAAATTTTGTTAATTCCGGTCTATCTTCCACGAATACGATGAGTAGAACACGGAATTTTGGGGATCTCCCGTAGAGGTTGGTGAAACATAAAGTCTATGCATGCATATAAAACCCCTTTTTTATTCATATATATTTTAAAGTACTAGATCGACGTGGTAACACGGTTTTAGAGACAAGTTTTACATAAAATCGGTCGGCTAATTCCCCTGCTTCACAATCGTTTTTCTCTTCATTTCAAAAATTTGAAGGTATCTTGAGATGTTATTTTTTTTTATGTTATTATTTCTGTGCAGTATGAGATTATAAATTTATGTGTTTTCTCTCTCAAATATTTTAGAACAAGTTTTGATAACGTATTTAAAGAATCTAATATTTACAATTTAAAAGCAATGGACGGAGATAAACCACCTTTTGCTAAAGAAATTGAGGATAAAGCAACTGCAATCAAGGAGCAACTTAAGCCTGTTCAAACTAAAGAAAAAAATAAGTTACCAACTCAGGAAGGTTTGTAAAAAAAATTACATATACTTTTCGCAGAAAGATATTTAGTCACATGATTGTCTATCACCATATCAATTAATTGATTACTCCATTACCTAGAAATCGATGCAGAGAAGAAGAAGGATGCTGAAAAAACTGGATCTTGACCTTGTCCTTTTCTAGCCAATGCTTTCTTTATTAGGCTCGATAGTACTCGTTAGTAACAATATATTGGCACCAAGTATATATATATATTTTATATCAATCAAATAATTATAAATACGTTTTATTTTTATTAGTGGGTTTTACCATTCGCATCTTTTTGCAACTGTGTTGGGATCAATGTTTAGTGTTCATGTTCCTTTATTGTATATTGATAGGCAAAAGTTTTATAAGATATATATAACATTAAAGTTCCAAATACGTAACGATTTATTATAAGAGTAAGCTCATTGAAATTATATACAATTATATATGATTAATTTCCATTTAAATGCACAGTACGCTCTAAACACGATATTGTAGAGCCATTGAGAATATGTATTCTGTAAATGTACACCCCCCTGAATACATGTTCCCAGAAAATTAATCATAATTACAGGTTACAGTACTACGACATATTCCATAATTAATTCCGAATAAAGGTGCCATTTTCTATAATGCCGCACCTTCACTGTGGAAAATGTGCCAGATTAGTGCGCCACAGTGGCTAGATGGGATTAGTTCAATTGATAATAATAAGCAGGTTTCGAGTTTGTAACTTTAGTTGTTAATATATAAAAGAATAAATTCCAATGTACCGTACAACGCAAGTACCCTCTATAAAAATTTTTCGCAGTTGAATACAAGATACCCGTACTTTACAGAGTGAAAGATCCGGTATTAACTATGCAGCATATATCATTTCTATGTAAAATACACCTCTTATATAATTACCCGGGTACTAACTTGGATTTTAGCTGTGAAATGTATCGCATCCGGGTACTATAGTCCGCGCTGTACAGTATTACATGATTGTGTTTTGTAATGTTCGTTATGCTTTCATTTTTAATTGTTCTTTTTTGAACTTTATAAATAATTTGTAAAAAATTATCAATACGGCATTTACGGCAATGGATAAATCTAGATCTCGCGGGAGCGATGCTCTTATTTATCGCACACCAAATTAACAAAAATTATTTTTAAATTATACAAATTAATATAGTATAGAGATATAAAATATTTTTATTTTAAAGTTTATACTAAACCAATTAGGTATTATATACTATATGAATAAGACTAATTTTAACACCTGGTTAAAATTATAAATTTTAACCACCCGTTATTTACTATTAATTTTTATTTCAATTTTAAATTAAAATTAGAATTAATATTATAAAAAAAGTTAAAGTTTAGAGTTAGGGTTAAAGATAGCTAGAATAAGGTTTTTTATAGTGCTGAATATTTTTACTTAATGCATCAAATATGGTTATTTAGTCTAGTTTTTAAGATAGCATAATGGGATTGGTTATGTAACCAGGAGGGCAAATTAGCAACACTCATACTATATTATTAGAAATAATATTAGAAAAAGGATTATCACAAATTAATATAAGGTCACATAAATTTAATTTATTGGTTCTCATAACATGGAACTTCTTAAATAGACCTGGCCAGCCGGCCAGCTTTTTTTTTTAATTTTATATATAAAAATTTGTAAAAATTTTTTTAAAAACTCACCCATTTAGTAAAACTTATAAAAAGATTTTTGTAATATTTTCAAAATTTGACCAGGTTGGATTATAAGAACCAATTAATTAACTTTGCATGGTCTAATATAATTTTTTAAAATAGATATTTTATGTTTAATATTATATAATTTTAATTATTGTCTGAAGCATAGCAGAGAACTTTATGTGTTTAAATAAGGTAATACAAAAGTTACATTTTTGATGCATCAATAATTGTAATATTAAAATTGTAACTTCCATATTTGGTATCTGTCCATATACATATATAGTTATATTTTTGATACATTATATTGTTTTGATTTGTACTGAGTTAAAAAAGTTAACAAGTTTATATTATTGTGTTTCAGATACATAATGCTGTACATTAACCTAGTTTATACTATACTAATTTAAAATTTAGATAATTTTTTATTTATATTAATTTATTTAAATAGTATAATAATTACTTATTTAAATTGATTTAATCTAAGAATATAAGTTATTTATTATTTGAAGTATTTTAAAACAAGCTATTATTTATTTTTTTTTATTTTTATTTTTTTTATTAACTAGTCTCTTTGGAGCTAAGGTTTTTATTTAAATATTTAGTTAAAGAGTTCATCAAGGAACCTCTATATTAGAAAATACATACTAGCTACATATTTACTTTTGGTAAGTAGTCTGCCTATATAGATTTTATACTAGATATTGTATCTGTAATCTAACTACAAGTATTATCTATTTAAACTCTTTGTAAATTAACCCAACTTATATTATCAATACATCTTTGTTACAATTATTAATTAAGAAGTTTCAGTTTCTATCTCTATATTCTTAAAACTAATTTATTCTTGAAACATTGTTGCTAGAGTTTTTTATACTCACAATCTAGCTAATCTAGACTTTGATAACTTATGTCCAAGTTTAAAAACAAGTACTTGCAAGCTGAAGCTACTACTGTTATTTATTCTGCCTTTGTAGAGTTTATCCAAACTCAATATATACTTTACAGACTATCAACAGTACTTCTAACTATCTCAAACTACTAATTCAGATAGCCCAAAAGAGCTGTGACTTGCTTTTGGTCCCCATAGTTAGGTTTTTTTCTTCTGATTACTCTTTTAACAATCTGGTTGGTGAAGTATCTTGCCAAATATTTCAGTCTTATTTAGTTTTGCTAATTCTTTTAATAGTAATCTTTTATATAGTATTGTCAAAGATCTATACTACCTTTTTACTCAGATTTGGTCAAGTAGACATCTATCTTTTTAGTTCTTTGAATTAATCAATTATAAGAACTTATCTATATAATTTATATATTATATAAATGTTCTATGATCTTCTAATTTTGTTAATATTATCAAGATTACAAATATCCTATTTCAACTGATTGTTAAAAAACAGTAGTCATTGTATAAGTAAAATATTTAAAATTTATTACTAGTAGGTTTTGAACCTTTATCTAGCTAACATATCATTTGGCAATATAATAACTTAACTACTATACTAAGTTATCATACTTTTTTATTTATTTTTTATTTATATAATTTATATATAAATATAATAACAATTTATTAGTTAATTAAAATTATCTAATATATTCAAAAACTCTTACAACTCTTTCCAATGATCCCTTGGCCAATAACAAAAAAGTTAAACTATAGTTAATAATATAGAAAAGCAACAAAATTAATATGAAAATACTCTTATATTATACAAGCAAACTTGTAATTAATAAAGCTTATATATATTAAACACTGAGGAGTAAACATATAACAAAAAGTAGATCTGTATTCTAGATTAAGCTTCTTTTTTATAAACTGTTATCAATAAAGTTCTTAAATATGATATACTAAGACTAATGATTTGAATTGAATAATAAAATCTAAATCAGTTAACCAAGTTAACTTACTTAGATACAATCAGCTCAACCATATTATTTTG